TTTTTTTTTTTTTTTTTTTTTGGCGCACGTGCAGGTCTCGGACTCGGGAAATTTTATTTTTAAATGTCAGAATTGATTTTGGCATTTTGGCATTGATTTCTTCGGAAGGGGGGCAGCCTTTATTCCGAGCGTTGGCCCAATATGGCTCGGATGGTCGGCTCGGGACATTACGGCGACGGCGAATGACGCAACGCCTCTGATCAAGCCGGATGTCTTTGCAGCTCGTCTTGCCACGTCGGGTCGCTGATGTACGCAGACATCACATGCTTCCGAAACCAATCGCCCCTGCACCGTATCTTTCTCCACGTGTCAAACAAGCGCATGGTCACTTTCCCTCGTTCGACTGAGGCGGGGGAGGGACTCATCAAGGGGGTGCGCGCAAGGTATCGGAAGGGCAGAGCACGACTTTGTCCGACGAGCAAGCGTATTGGAGCGCCTCTCCGAATGTCTCTGGGCCTGTGACACTGTCTGCAATTAGTCATTGGAGCGGAGAACAGCGTGCAATAGCGCAGGATCCTGGCTGAGCTCGTCTGCCGTATGTCCCGCATCGAGTGCGTCGTGCCAGTCCTTGGGGTCCATCTGCACGGGAAAGACGCTAGGATCGGCGGAGAAAGAGCTGAGCCTACTTTCGCGCAGCGCGTCCTTGGCGTCCTGCAGGATCTCGGCGGTGCTCGGGATGTGGGCACGGCTGGCGCCCTTGTCCGTACTCAAACTGGCAGCACTGCTAGATTCAGCGTCGGCGAGCAGCCAGGCACGCATTTCTTCTTGCTTCTTGCGCGCTTCGGCGCCTTCGTACGAAGGCACGAGCGAGTGGAGCGCCTTAGTGTAGTTGCTGGCCAGCGATTCGCCGTTGGGGCCGCCAACGATGCCTCCGCGGTCCAAGAGCTCGTTGGTCATCTGGAACGGCTGAGATGCACCGGCCATCATAGCGGGAGCATCTGTCGGTCTCGCCACTTCGCGTCGGGATGCTCTTGCGCCACCCTCACTGTGAGAGGCCTTGGTCCAATCGCTTAGGATCTGGCGGATCGATGTGGGATCAATGGATCCCTGATGGTCGGTTCCTTGCACCTTGGCATCGCGCAGCTGCTGCGCCACCGATTCAGGACATCCAATCACCCCGAGCGCATAGTCAAAAGTCCACTGCGGCGCTTCCGAGGGCGGATTCTCGCGCGGATACTGCACCACCACGTACGCCTTGTCGAGATCGCTCAACTCCTTGTTATAACCAATATCTTGGTCAAGTCCCGTAAGCTCTTTGGGCTGTGGAAAATGCATGATGGAAGTCACGTCGACTTGCGAGTAGTCGGACACGTCGTATTGATTGTAGACATCAAGCACTTGGTCGTGAACTTGCTTGTCTGACCAGCGTCGGTCGGAACGATATAGTTCGAGTGCAGCTTGCACATCGATGGCTGTGCCTCCGTGTGCAGCACTCTGATGCTCGTGAAGCAAGCCCAACACATGACCAAACTCGTGCAGGATCGATGCCCTCTCGTTGGCAGTCATCGACGCCGACGCCTGCAGCCCTGCCAGATTCATCGTCGCATCCCGTGGCTCGATGATGCGAGAGTCCGTACCGACGTACGACCAACTACCATCTTTGGGGTCAAAGGTGATACGAATGTCGCAGCTCGCCGGATCGACGCCCTCGACAAAGCGAACATTGGCGTAGTGCGACCATTCTTGGATGGCGTTTCTCACTTTGTCCTGTTGCACGTTGCTGCCGACGTGGTCGCCGGGCAGAAAGCAGTAGTGGATGGTCTGCGGAGAGTCGGGCCACAGCTTTTCGGTGCTTGCAAGAACCGTCCCGGAAGTCGAGGTGGAGACGCCTTGGGTGACGGCAGTCTGGAGGGTGTCGGGCGTGACAACGTCCTTGCACGTCTTGCTGAACCACTCGTTGGAGTCGTTGACGCTAAGCTGTGTGAGTGTTGCTGTACGCTGCTCGCTGTTCGAGGTAGTGGCAGTGGCGCTCTCCTGCAAAGGCTCAGTGGGACGCGGCTCCGCAGCAGCAGGTCCATCGTCGATTGGAGGCGTAAAAAGGTCGCAGCGAACGGGTTTGATCAGGCGTTCGACTCGGGGCGGTGCATACGTTGCTGTGGGCTGCTCGCTGTCACTGGCAGTCACAATGACGCTTTCCCCAGAGGGTTCCGTGGGAGGTTGCTCAGCAGCACCAATCTCATCGTCGGTTGGAGGCGTGAACAGGTCGTAGCGCACAGGCTTGATGAGGCGGCTGATTCTGGGCGATGCGCCAGTGGGGTTCGACTGCTCGATGGCCATGGCAAGGTTGCTTTCGTGGGAGGAATCCATGGCAGCCTGCTCCTCTGCGGCGCGCTCATCGTCGGGCGGAGGTTCAAACAGATCGCACCGTAAGGGCTGAATGGAAGCCATGATTGGCGAGAGCCGCTGAGGTCTTGACTCCGAGAGCGAGAGGCTGGCTGGTCGAGTGCTGGTCTTATGCGAGTCTCTGAACGCGATGCGAGGTCAGGGGCGTCGAGACGGTGGAGATGAGACGGTGGAGAGGCGCAGCTCGGACGGGAGGACGGCAGCGCCGGGATTCGTTCGAGAAGTAACGCTTTATAGACGAAGCGTAGATGCTGCTGTGGACGTAGGATAAATACAGACGCTCGCTATGTCAAGGAGAAAGAAGAGCCAAGCGGGATGCTTCTGATGCACGGGAAAGGCAATCTGCAGCAGGTGCAGCCAGAGTTTCAGGGTCCGCACCTCCATTATCCGAAGCGCTGACCCCGCGGTCCAGATCGTGGAGGATGATCTTGCCGCCACATGGCCGAGGAACTGCGCCGCAAGTCTGGCTTTTATCCGGTGGACCCTGTGCCGTTGCACTGGTGCACAGGATGACGCAGGCACCTGAAACCAATTCGGCGATCATCGACTGTTGTTCGGCGAGTCGGCACGCCGATGCAGAGACGGCTGAGGCGCTGGCTGGTCGGCAACAACCACCAAGCCTCGCATCTGGCTCGATGACGGAGTGAGCTACGGTTGAGCGGCACGTGCACAGACATACATCCACTGTGCGTCTGACCGCCCACCGAATGGCTTCCGGTACGAGCAAGTGTTCGGCGGTCCGAGATGAGATCAACGCCGGCGAAGATCCGGCAACTAAGACGGCTTTTGGGCGAGGGATCGACTGCAGTCTGTAAGCCCCAGCCTTCATGTCAGCCCACTCCAACACCCTGCGCAACCCAAGATGCTCTTCCCTCCCGGCAGCACCACGCCGCTCAAGATGCTGTTCGAGCGCATTCACAACTTTGGTTGTATAGAGAAGCAACCGAGTCTCTGCTGGGGGGAAGAGAAGACAAGGAGTAGTAGTTCATCTCGGTCGCAGAAAGGCCCCGAGCAAGGCCGCTCGAGAATCACATGATGTCGAACAAGAGCAGAAGCGATCCGCCCTTCTCCGAAGTCGAGCACTTCGTTCTCGCTTGTAAGCTGTGGCGTCGATCCCAGCTTGATAGGCATCTTTGGCAACCGCCATGCGCGCCCACCTGGCGCCACGATGAAGTGGGGTCTGATCGAGATCGACCTTTGCTTGATACTCTCACCTTGTCGCTCATTGATGTGCGCCTACCAAAAGCTGCTTCCGTGCTGCCCGACGTACGACCCACTTGATCCGCAAGTCTGGCGCTGTGGCGTAGGTTCTCATCAAGAGGCGGCGCATTCTCTCGTCCAGTGGCGCTGCCATGCAGGCGAGCGCCATGACAACCGCTTTTCCCTTCACCCACTGCCATCCACGCCGCCTTCGAGATCTGCTAAAGAGCGGTGCTGCCTCGAGAATGCCTCATACACAGCTCAGTCCGCACGAGCTGTGCGAGCTTCAAGACACGTTCCGTGCTTCTCTACCGACATGCGACACCGACCCCTGTGTCGCCCAGAGACATCAGATCGAACCACTCAGAACATATAAGGACCCCCGCGAGCCGACCTTGGCCTTCTCGCCTCTTCTCACGACCCCCATCCGATACGATTGTGTCTTTGCCACAATGAAATACCTTCTCTCCCTAGTCGCTCTCGCGACCGCGCTGAACAGCGTCCAAGTAAGCCACGCTGCTGCTGCCCACGCTTCCCTGGAAAAGCGTGCCGCCGACACGATCACCGTCCATCTCGACCAATGCCGAGGTCCGCCTCAGCACTACGGTTCCGGAATGCTCTACGGAGCTCAGGGCACCAACAGCCCGCCTCAATCGTGTAAGCATCAGCGTTCCTCGTCATTCCCTCGCGAGCATCGAGAATTGACTCGCATGAACAATCCTTGATCACACGGTTCAAATCTTGCCAAACAGACCTCGAGAAGCTAGGCATCAACTGTAAGTCGAGCTGCAGATCTGCTTCGGCGTCGGCATGGTCGTTCAAATACTTACAGCTGCGCCTCTGATCACAGACATCTCGGCCGGTGGTGCACAGTCTCCTACCTCGGGCTGGGGCTCCTCCAAGGCTCACTACGACGCGCGCTTCATGACCGTCGTGGACGACTGGAAGCGCATGCAAGCGCTCAATGGCTCCTTTGTCATCAAGACCTCGGACCTGTGGGGAGCCGACGCTACCCAGGGACCCAACTTCCCCTTCCCCGGTGACGGCGGCAACTGGGCTTCGTACGATGCCTTTGTCCAGCAGATCATCTCGGACATCAAGAAGCATGGCATGGACGTCAGCCTCATGACGCAAATCGAGCTCTGGAACGAACCGGATCTCGGCAAGGTCTTTTGGGCAAGAAGCCAGGATCAGTACCTCGAGATGTACGCTCGCGGTTCCCGCGCCTTCCGCAAGGCATTCGGGCCCAAGTCTGACCACCACCTGCCTCTGGTCGGCCCGTCGAGCGCCAGTCCCAACCCAAACAACGACTGGTTCAAGAAATGGCTGTCGTTCGTCCGTGCGAACAAAGACGTGCAGCCCGACATCTACAACTGGCACCTCGAGGGAGGTGGAACCAATGACCCGGTGTCGTCTTCGCAGGCCATGCGCGATCTGATCCGACAGTATGGCCTCGACATTGGGCTTGGATTCCAGACCAACGAGTACGGAACGCGCGAGCAGCAGCGGCCCGGCTATGCGGCCTGGCACCACGCCCGATACGAGAAGGTCAAGTTCCACGGTATGCGCGGCAACTGGGCAGGTGGACCTGCTCTGCGAGACAACCTGGCTGGGCTGCTCATCAAGAATCCCGATGGATCGTACGCCGAGACGGGCGAAGCACACGTCTGGGCCATCTATGGAGGTCTTAAGGGCTCGCCGTGTGTAACCCAGGAAGGTCATGCCCTCGACTCGTACGGCATCGCCTCGCCCGCCAAGAGGACTGCTTCGGCTCTCGTCGGCAACACTGGCTTCACTGGCACCGCAAACGTCGTCTTCAAGGGCATCTCTGCGCTCGGTAAAGGTGCCTCGCACCTCCAGGCCGAGGTACAGGTGATCCCCTACAACCGCGGCGCTGCGGTAGCTGCCCCCGTTCGAGTCGCTACTCAGCCCGTCAACGTAGAGCAGGACACGGCAAGCGTCCAGATCAACTGGACCAACGCCGATGACGCCTACCTCGTCACCATCACTGCAGCCTAAAGCTACAATGAGTGTGCATCTGATTGCATGTGCGCTGCCATCAGCGTCGGTGTCGGCCCTCGTTGCCAATACAGGGGTGTACGCGCGAGCTACGTCTCTATATAGTCTCACACCATCACATCCCTTTAAGGTGCAACATCAAATTCTTCTCGAGAGGTGTTGTCTGCGCTGTGTGTCGTCATCGAAATTCTGAGCATCTTCCGTAGTGCTGAGAGCGTCACTGTCGAGCACTACGAACGCATCTTTACGGCTTCGCTCTGAGCAGCTGCTCTTGCAACACCACTTGGGCCACTCGCTTGTCAGACCACGCTTGGATCTTCCCGCTCGATTTCGCGCTGATGCACTCCTTGCACTCGGCGATGCGAAGCGCCGAGGCATCTGAAAGCTGCTGCAGCTTGATCTCTTGCCCTCGAAGCTCTGTAAGCTCGGCGGCTTGGGTGCCGGTCTTTGCTATCTTCGCCCTGACCGCTTGCAAGGTCTGATCCTGCGTCGATGCATCGCTGCTCAGCGTTTTGAGCTGCGCCTGCAGCGATTCAAGACTGGCGCTCTCGAGGAGTCGACGTGCGGTGCTGATGGTGACGTACGCGTCGAGCAAGCCACCCGCGGCTGTGAAAGGGCCAAGACACTCCCGCACCGAGTATGCACTTACGAGACGCTCAGCTTTGTCCTTGTCCACATCCTTGAAGCCGGCAAGCTGGGACGCTCCAGCTCGGACTGCGTTGACCAGCTGTTCGTAGTCTGGCGCCTTCTCAACGAGCCTGTGGAGCAGGCCGTCGATTTCCTCCGAGACGCGACAGGCTACATCGGCGAGCTCTTGATACTCTCCTTGCTTGTTAGGAATGCAGATTCCTGCGAGATTGTCGACTGCTTTGCGCAGATCGCTGGCTTTGGCATCTGTGAACCTGGTTCTGAACTCACTCCGAGCAAGCTTTTGCACCCCTACCCTGATCTTGAACGGGATCGAATCCAAGTACGGAAGAAAGGCGAGGCCGTCATATGACCTGCCTCCCAAAAGGCCAGGATAGTCCAGGACTCCAGGGACGTCTTGTGTCTCTTTCATGTCCGTCATGGCCTGGGCGGGATCTGCCATGAGACGGAGCAAGTCGAAAGCCGTGTCATCCCCATCGAAGGCTCGAACGTCGAGTGCCTCCGGCTGCCCCCGCAGCAAGGCCTGTACGTCGATCCGCCCCAAAAATTGATCTGCGCTGCGCAGGAGCATCTTCATGTTGTTGAGAAGCGGATCCCGCATCGCCAGCTCCGTCTCCTTGTATCGAAGCGATTCAAAGGCGCAGTGCATCGACGTTTCGGTCAAAATACCGTCGTCGGCTGCCAGGAACATCAAAAATATGTTCTGATCCTTTTGCACTGCGGCGCAAATCAGGTGTGAGAAAGGATCAAAGGCAGAGTGGAGTGCCAAGATCGCCATGTCGCTGCCATCAGCCGTTTCGTTGTGGATGTAGTCGATGACTGCAAACCCGCTCTGACCGATCAAGACGACATTTCCGGGAGCGAGATCGTCCGTGGACGCTGGCTGAAAGATCTGCGTCTTGCCAGCCTTGGCGTTCAGTCGTAGCGTCTCTACAAGCGTCGGTGCATCCTTCTGATTCAGCAGCTGTACGGAAACTTCGCGATTCAGGAAAGACACTAGCTGCGGCAAGCCTTGCAGGCAGCCGATCAACATCGAGCTTGGCTTTCCGGGCTTGAGGAGCTCGCTGACGTTGTAGCGACGACCGACAATGCAGGAGCGAGAGTCGTCGACGCCAGGCATGTTGCTGCTTCCATCGTTGCCGCTTTGAGGTTTGCCGGCGTCTGGATTGACTCCAAAAGCGCGATTGTTCGTTCCTGCATCTTGTGAGATGTACCGATGAAAGGTCTGCTGGCCGTTTGGTCCGATGCTTCTTCTTTCTTCGAGCAAACGCATGTGTGACCGGAAAAGTGGTTTGACGTCGTTGTCGTCGAAGACTTGCGCCTGCGCCCTTGATCGATCCTGAGGCGGAAGGAGCTCGAGTCGCCGGTTGAGACCTTGCTGAAACTTGCGCACATCCTCCGTGGTTGAATCGTACATTGTACCCTTGACCTCCATTTGCCGATCCCGTTCAATCTTTCTTGTGCTTCTTGTATGCCCAGCGTGCGGCTTTTTCAAGCTTGGTGATCTCGTCAGTGTCCTTGCGTCTAAGGCTTAAGAACCATTTCGCAGCAGCCATCCTTGAATGATGTTGACCTCGCGACGCGAAAAGATACTGAGAGTAGATGCCCCGAAGAAGGGGAAGGGGTGAGAAAGGTTGCGATCACCTCGCTTTAAGGCACGGGCCGTTCCTTGACAGCGGTCGGCTCGAGACTCCATCTTGGACAATTGTCCTCTGCTGTACCGCGAGCATGTCGTGCAGAGCTGACTTCACCTCCGCTCGGCTTCCTAAGTCTTCAACGGCTCAACGTGCGGCCTCCCCGACGGGGTTGCGACTGCTTTGCAAGCCCCTATGACTGCCCCTGCAGATGTTCCTTCGCAGGAGGTCACAGCCCGGTCACCTTACTGCCCAGCCGCTGCAACGCCTACCGATTAAAGTGCTCATCTATGCGGCACGTTGGCATCCGCGGCATGCAGTATAGCGGCAACGTGCGGTTGCATGGCCTTCTCACGCTCCGGGCGGAGCCGCAACTTTCGAGCTCGGCCCGGGAGCTTTCATGGGAGCTGTAGCTCCTCCTACCCAGATCTTCTTTCATGATGCTCTGGGTGTGCTCGGCAGAAGAGCCGCCCCCGACGGAAGCAACCTTTCGAGACAACGTGCTCGGGGTCATATTCGATGCTGGATATATGGTGTGGTCGAGATGGCCACAAGATGCTGGGTCACAAGAGTCGCACTGCACTGCTTCATATTGACAGACGGGCCTATTCTAAGAGATATTCCACTACTCTAAGAGATACTCCATTAAGAAAGGATAAGCACACGGTGGTCTACGTGACTAGAAAGCCTGTTCGAGCGCCTTCTCGAAAGCGGCATAGAGGTTCTGCCTATCCTCGGGCGTCCTGTCCTTGAGCGCTGGATTGTTGAGGAAGAGAGTCTTGACCTGGTCAGCGTAGCTCTGGTTCGACGCAAATGTGCCGTTGCCAGCATTTGGATCGATGGACGAGGCTGGTCCGACCGAAGGGCCGCTCTGACTGCCTTGGCTGGAGGAGGTCGCTGCAGCTGGCTTGTTGTCGCCGTCGCGGAACATGCCACTTGCATTGAAGCGTCTGACACCGGGCTTCCTGTCGGTCTGGTCGGGGATCTGGTCAGGATTGATGCCGTGGGCAGGTCCCGATCCTCCGCCCGAAGCACCGCCGCGGTTCTTGTCTTCCGAGTCGATCCGCTGCATCTCTTCAAAGAGATAGTCGGTGGGCATCTTGACAAACTCGCGCGACTTGTCTGGATGCACTAGCTGCATCATGTAGCCCAGGATCTGCGGACCGGGGATACGGATGACCATGCCATCGCTCGTCTGCGTGGAGCTCGAGTGGCTCGAGTCGCCCGTTTTGCTCGAAGAGCTGCTCGTAGAGAAGCACAGGAAGCCTCCCGAGGTAGAGCTGTTTTCCTTGAAGGACGATCGGTCTTCGTCACTCTTGAAATCGTCCGACTGAACCTGGATGACGCAATCCTTGACCAAGACGTAACCGACGGGGAAGACGGACAGGTATCCCTCCTTGATGTGGCTGGTGTTGCCTTGCGAGACCTCTGCAGCCATTGTGGTGCTGTTGACGCCGTCGGTCCAGGTCGACCAGGACGCGTAATCGCTGCCTTGGTAGAGGTGCATGAAGGCACCGCTCATCTGGGCGATGCTGGGATCGAACCAGCCAGAGCGATCCACAGTGACGTAGGTGACTCGCATGTTGACCGTCACCTTGAGCGAATATTCTTTCTGCTTAGCAATTACCGATGCTGCCTGGTTAGACGAGCTCTTGGATACCGAACCGAGCCAGAAGTTGCACGAGAAGGAGCTCGTCGTCGCCGAGCTGGTGGCGACGCTCGACTTCTCGTTGTTCTTGACCAAGGAGCTGACGGAGAGGTCGATCCATCGGCTGCCGCCATTGCCCGCGGGAAGCTTGCCGACGTCCTCGGTGGGCTTGGTTTTGTCATCGTCACGTACCTGCTTGGCTTTGAGTGCCATGCCGTAGTGATCTTGCAGATCCTGAAGCTCGTCCTTGGCGGCCGTGAGAGCCCGCTGTGTGTTCTCCACCTCGGTATGCGTGTCGCCCGCTTTGGCAAGTGCGGCAAAGGCCATGGCGTCGGTCAGCGCTCGCGAAGCGGCGTTGACCTCCATGTTGAGCGCAGTCACGCCGGTGATCTGCGTTCCAATGTCGTCGAGGCCCTTGAGATCGTCGCCGAAGATGCCGGTGAGCTTGCTCTTTGCGGTCGAGTTGCCGGCAATGTTGCCCTTCGTCGCCGTCCAAGCGGAGCTGACAAGCTCGGTGGCGGCACCGGCAGGAGTGACGGCGCCGGCGATGGTGATGGCGAGCTTGACCGCACTGATCGTGTTCTCGGTATAGGCCTTCGAGAGCGCGCCCATCGCTTCCATGTGCTTCTTGGCCGCATCGTCGACAGCCTTTTGAGCATCCTTGGGGTCGCCAACCTGGAAGCCACGGAGGGTAGCGATTCTGGTCTCGAGCGACTCGATCTGCTTCGATTTCGATTCAATCGCTTGCTCCATCAGTTCGGGCGTCTGACTGAGATCTTCTGTTGTGAAGCCCGTGTCGAGCGCCTGGAACCAGTCCGTAGGCTCCATCTGGACGGGGTAGACGCTCGAAGCAGTGTAGAGCGAGCTGAGTGCACTCTCGCGAAGAGCGTCCTTGGCATCTTGCAGCATCTCGGCTGTGGTGCGGATGTCGAGATGACCGAGCAGTTCTCGAACCGTGTGGGTGTGACCTCGCACGACGGCATTGGCGTACTTGTTGGAGAGGATCGCATTCTGCGTGCCCGTGATGTGGGCCAGCTTGCGCGTGAGCTTCTCCATCTCCTTGGGGTCGTTTTTGGCCTCGGCCTCTTGCATCTGTGCGTCGCGGTCCAGCTCCCACTTCTGCTTGGCGCCGAGGTACTCCATGGTGAGCGTGTTGGAGAACTCCATGCGAGTCATGAGGCGCGCATCCGTCATTCCGGTGGCCTCGACACCCCGAAGCGCACCCTTGGCGGCGTTGAGACTGGCGTCGGTCGAAGCGCCTCCCTGGTCGGGCAGCACTTGGTCTGCAGTGCCATTGGTCGAGATTTGGACACCAGACCCGTCGGCCAGCTGTGAAACAGCCGATCCGTTCAAGTTCGGTACCACAAGGCGCGAGTCCGAGATGAAGGCAGCTTCGTCCGGGTGCGTCTCGGCGAGCAGCCAGGAGCGCATAAGCTCTCGCTGCTTGCGTGCCTCGATACCCTCGTAGGAAGGCACGAGCGAGTCGAGGACCTTGACGTAGTTGTTGGAGAGCGACTGGCCGTTGGGCCCGCCGACGATGGGGCCGAGGTTGTACAGCTCGTCGGTCAGTCGGAACTCGGCCTCGTTGACCACGACGGGCTTCTCGAAGCGCGAAAAGACGCTGCTCGTGTCGTAGGCGAACGACGCCTTGTCGAGGTAGCGCGTGGGGAACTGTAGCGCAAAGTACTGTCCATCACCGGGAGGGAAGAAGTTCATGAGCTTGTCGTACATGACTTTGATGAACGGTCCTTCTGAATCAAACTTGGCCTCCCCAGTAGGAGGGGCGCCATCGTGCAGCGGCTGAGCTGGATCCGCTGCAGATGATGGGATCGCACCGCCGTCACCGGCGAAGACCACTCCGCTCGCCGGCGTTGCACCGCTGCTCGGTTCCATGTCCACGTCGTGGGCAGGCGACGCCCCAGTATTCTTGCTGTGTGCTGCAATCGACCAGTCGCCCAGGATCTTGCGAAGCTTGCTCAAGTCCGTCTTGCCATTCGAGTCTTTGATTGCGGCCCTCGCCGCGCGCATCTGCTGGCACACGGATTCCGGGCAGTTGATCTTGCTCAGGGCATAGTCGAACGTCCACTGAGCCGCTTGCGCGTGTGGCGTGTCTCGAGGATACTGCAACACCATGTAGGCCTTGTCGAGGTCGCTGAGCTCCTTGTTGTATCCGATGTCTTGCTTGAGCCCGGTGAGCTCCTTGGGCTGCGGGTAGTGCATGATGGATTTCGTGTCTACTTCCGAGAAGTTGGACACGTCCTTCATCTTGTAGACGTTGATCACCTGGTCGTAGATCTGCTGGTCTGGCCAGTGCTGTCCGGTGCGGTACATGTCGAGGGCGGCCTGTACATTGACAACCGCGGTGCCTCCGTGGGCAGGGCTCTGATGCTCGTGCAGCAAGCCCAAGACATGGCCGAACTCGTGCAGAATGACGGCCCTCTCGTTCTGCGTTGCGACCGCTCCCGAAGGCAGCACCCAGGCGAGATTCATGGTGGCATCCTGCGGCTGAATCGTGTGGCAATCTTGCCCGACGTAGGACCAGCTGCCGTCCTTGGGATTGAAGCGAATTCGCACATCGCAAGCACCGATGCTCTTGCCCTCGACGAAACGCACGTTGGCGTACCAGGTCCACTCGTCGATGACGCTCCTCACCTTGCCTTGTTGGATGTCGTTGCCCGCAAACTCGCCGGGGAGGAAGCCATAGTAGATGGTCTGCGGGCTGCCGCCTTCCCACAGCTTTTCGGCGTTGGCAAAGACAGTGTCGGAACGCGAGGAGCTGGTGAGCTTCTTGGCTATCTGAATGCCTTGGGTGACGGCGGTCTGGAGGTTGTCGGGCGTGAGTACCTCCTTGCAGGTCTTGTGGATCCAGCTCGTGACGCTGGCCATGTTGTTCGGCTTGGCGTCGACATTCTGGTCGTCCGCGGGCTTCTGCGGGTCTTGACCGCTGGACTGGTTAGAGTTGCCGCCACTCGGCTGTCCACCACTGTTGGTGCCGCTGTTGGCGCCGCTGTTGGTGCCGCTGTTGTCTGCCGGCTGCTGTCCATTTCCAGAGGGTGTGGAAGCGGCGTTGGAGAGGTGGATCTGGACGAGCTTGGTCTTGTCGTCGTCAAGATCGACAGCATCTCTGACGATCAGCATGCAGAACGAAGTGTCGTCGCTGATGCAGAGGAGCTTGGTGGCCTTGGCATCGTCAGCAGCCCTGCGAGCTGGTCGGAGGCGACAGATGCCAAAGTTGGGGTCGATGTGCGCAGCTGCAGGGGTGAGGATCGCGTTGATCTCGCCCTGAGTGATAGACTCGACGCATCGACGCTTGGAGTTTGAATAGTAGAAGACAGGACCGCCTGACTTGGTATCGGCGATGACGGGTGTCTCGACAACAGCGAAGGCCGAAGTGAGGTGAGCCATCTTGAGCTGAGCAGCAGAGGTGAAGCCGACGTTGTGAGCCGAGGGAGAGCCGCGAAGACCGTAGATGACCGAGTCCTTGTCGCTCTGCCAGTAGATGGTGAGCGGCTGATCGTCACCCTCGTAGTTGACGTGGACGTGAAAGCCGGGCAGCGGCGTCTCGCCCTTGATGTCGAGCGGACAGACCGTGTCTTCGCCATCGAGCAGCTTACGCACGAGGCCACCGTTGGCGTTTTGCCAGAATAGGACTGCGCCATCGGCCGTCTCGTACAGTGCGAGCGTGGTGCCGGCCAGGGGCTGGTCGCGGGCGGGGATGACGACCTCTTCGTCGTTCCAGGTCTGGCCTGATGCAGCGAGGATGCGCTGGCAGATGTCACCTCCGGCATTCTGGTAGGCAATGAGGATCTTGTTGCCTGCAAAAGTGGTAGCAGCGATGCGCGAGAAGGCGAGGCAGGTGGTGTTGAGGGTGCCGGCAGCCATGTCGATCGAAGCGCTGCCGCCATCGGGAGAGGTGGCCGAGACATACTCGGCAATCTTTCCGTCACCGCCGGCAAGGAAGAGACGCAGATCCTGGTCTCGCTGGCACGCGGCCAGGTGGCCACCCCACGCAGCGGTTCCGCTAGGAGCCGAGGGGACAGAGGTTGGAGCGGGGGGAGGAGCGTTGGTCGGCGCAGCGGGAGCCGAGGTGTTGGCCGTGGCCGAAGCGGTGGAGGTCTGTGTTGCAGGAGGAGGAGGAGGAGGAACAAACAGAGAGAAAGCTTGTTTGTTAGTCATGCGTCGCGGAGTTGGCGCGGCGATGGCCTGCTCTTCCCCCTGCGCAGCCTTGATGGGGCTGCCATCGGTTTTCCCCTCGAGCTGCTCCACGGTTTGCACCGCGGGAGGCTGGTCGTTGGAATTTGGGAGAGGTGGCTCGTTGGGGTCAACGGCAGTCTTGGCAGGCTCATCATCGGGCGGAGGTTCAAAGAGATCGCAGTCGAGGCGTACCGGTTTGGCGTCAGACATGATTGACGATCGCGAGTCTGGCTTGAGCTCGAGAAAGGGGTCGTGTGGATGAGGAGCGCGAGTCAAGGTAGTGGAGAGGCCGGACTCTGCGTTGCCAAGAGGACTTGGGCGACACTGAGGGCTTGGACGGAGCCAAAGCTCGAGACTTGATGCGACTTGGGCTGCAGCTTTATAGCTGTCGCCTGATGTACGAGCAGCGCGACGTTTGAATGGTCATGGCGGTGCAGAGAACCAAGAGCTCGCTCCAAAAACGGAGCTGAGGGAAGGCTCTGTGACTAGCGCAACAGGATCCCATGGCTCAGGGTTGATCTGCTGGGCGGGTTGGTGCTTGCCCACTATTCGGCGCGGGCATCCGGATGAATGCGTTGGAGTGCAGAGGCTGCGCATCCAAGATGTCGTGTGTGGTCTTACGCTGTCGACGATCCGACATATTGGTGCGGAGAAGATGACAACGTGGGCATCCGTTTCTAGAAGGCGGGCTTTCGGGGTCGGCGACCGTGTTGGCAAGGCCGCGGAATGCGATCGTGTGCCATCGTGAAGGTTGAAGCTCCGCACGTCATTATCCGCAGCCGAGGTGCACCCTGGGCGACCCCTATGCATGCACGGGCATGATGGTCGCATTCTCCATCCCCGCGTTTGCAGGTACATGAGCTGCTGCATGAACCCGTGGCACTCCTTTGGCCTGGATACTGGATTGCGAAGGTCCGAGCGCTCGCATGGATGCGCATTAAGGTTGGTCGACAGCCTTCCCGCGCCTCTTTTGCTCAGCACGTCCCTTCTTTGTTGGCTGGGAGACTCCGAGTCTAGTGAGCATTAACCCGCATCGTCTTGGTTCACATGGCGACCGAGCAAGCAGACATGGAGACTCGACTTCCTACGGCCCAAGCTGGCGGTCTCCTAGGCATCTCGACGATGCCTCGCTGCATCTGTGGCGGATTCCGAGGCCTTCGGTTGAACCCTTTGAGCAGCTTTATCCGCTGCACGGTGGAGCAGACCATGGAACGTGCGCCACGTTGCACAGCTGTCGGCATCGAACGACGCCACTTTTGGCGAACATGAGGGCTGGTGATGGCGGTACTTGGCCTCTTGTCTAGGAGGAGCATCAGGTGTAAGGGACCATCCCCTCTTGCCTTCGGAGAAGCGTGTCAGCTGAAGATGATCGAGGTGGCAATGGGCGCGCAGGGCTTTCCGCCACGCAGAGAAGGTATAGAGGGCATATTGGTCTATGCGTGGTGCCGAGCCATCGTTGACAAGGCCTGGGTAGGGTCATGAACGAGGTGGCGTAATCGACAAGTGACAAAAAGGATATACGCTGCAGCCGGCTCACAGACTACATCGCACAGCGCACTTCTATGAGCGAGGAGTCGGAGTGCAGCTCGTGGCCTTACTGGACCCTGTGAATGATGGGAGCATTACTGCTGCTCCTCCAAAGTCCCGTTCCGTTGGCAACTGAAAAGCTGACGTCGCCTCGGGACCGGAGAACCGACTCGGGGCCACCGTGAGCCTCGAGCAAGGCTCAACAATTTGCATCATCATCGGCTGCTCTTCTTCCTGGGAACAAAGGCAAGGCTGATGCGTGCAGCTGACTGGATGCATCAATAGCTCGAGTCTGTGCGAGGGCATCGTCGGACAAAGGTCGTGTGCCAACTCGTCTTCGGCAATGCATTCAGGGGGAGCTCATTTTCGGGCGGGCTCAGAATGTCAGTTCTACGACGATCTCACATCTGAAACTCACCCCACCAATGATCCCCGAGATCCGAGATCCGAGTCCGGACCTCTTTTTCGGAAGAAGTGGGTCGTACAAAGCCCTCACCTGCCTGCCGCTTTGCCTCTTTGCTCCTCACTGCTGCTCTCACTGCTCGTGCCCGAGCAAGCAGGCGATTGAGAGCAACAACCATGGCGCCAAGAAAGAAGAACCCCGCCATCAAGTCGAGCGGCACCACCTCGTCCAAGGCATCGCCGCTCCCGGACTGGGTCAAAGGCGGCGGTCCCAAGCCACCGCCCTCGTACACCAAGGCGGCCAAACAGCAGCAACAAGCGCAACCATCAAAAGGTGACGCAGCCGGCAGCTCATCGTCAACAGCCACGACGCCAGCACCCGCGCAGCGCGAGATGCTCTTCCCTCCCGGCAGCAAGACGCCGCTCAACATGCTCTACGAGCGCATCAACAAGCTGCCCGGCTGGGAGAAGCCCATCGTCGAACCGCGCCGACACAAGGAAGGCTACAGCTGTGCAGTCACGCTCAAGAAGGTCAACAAGAAGGACGCATCCAACCCTTTCACCGTCGTCTTTGAGCCAAAGGAGCCAGGCTTGAGGCTCGAATGCAGCTCGAGCCTCGAGGCCAAGCACTGGGGCGCAACCTATGCGCTCTTCCGCATCTTCAACCATCTCTCCCTCAACCTCGCCCTGCCCCCAGGACCGAGAGAGTACTGGGTCAAGATGGAGGCATACAAGAAGACAGCCCCCTCTCACCAGGACTGGATGTGGGAGTCGGACCCCTTCGAAGCCCAGGCGAAGCGAGAGGCGGAAAAGGCAAAGAAGGAGGCCGACAAACAGGCGGCAGCAGAGGCAGCGAGCAAGGGTGAGGTCGGTATCGTCAATGGCAAGCTCAACGGCGCGGGAAAGCCGCTCAGCAAGGCGTGGCAAGAAGCAAAGGAGGTACGACTGGCCAGCAAGCTGAGGGAGAAGATTGAGGCGACCATCCGAAGAGCCATGAGCATCTTCCCCGCCGCATCCGCCGCACCGCTCGATCTGGAAGAGGAGGATTCGGATCCCAACGCCCCGCCAACCGCGGCTCCAAAGGTGGATGCAGCAGCCCTCGAGAGGGAGCTGTCCGGATACGGCTTTCGACGCGGACAAGTACGTAGTGCCATCGCCTGGCTCACCGCTGCACGCACCGCGCTTGCCAATCCAACAGCCTCAACAGCAGCAGCAACCGCGTCGTTGGTCGATCCCATGCTCGCCTCGGCAGCGGGACTGGCGGATCGCGAGGCGGCGCTAGAGTATCTCATGCTCTACACGCCCGAAGAAGACCTGCCCGTGCGCTTCAAACCCTCGACGTCGTCCGAGAGCTTTGTCACTGCATCCAAAGCCGGTGCGGGCGGCGACGCGCTCGCCATCGGATGGGCTGTCGATCGGCTCGCAAAGCAGGCGGGATTCCCCAGGCACGCCGTCCAGACCGTCTTCCAGCGCATCGCCGCTGCCGAGAAGCAGATGGCAATCGAGCTGGCCAGGACGGTCAAGGAGGGCTTGGCACTCGACATGCTGCTGCGCCAAATGACGGGCTGGGACGCAAACGATGCGCAGCCAGCCTGGTCGTCCGAGGCCATCCTGCAGGCTACGCTCGGCTTCTCGACGATTGTGGACGAGGCCGATGCGGAAGAAATACAAAGCAAGCGCGCGGATGAACGCATGGCGGTCGAAGCGATCCTGGGTGAGGAGCGGGTGCAGGTGCCGTCGGAACACGAACGTCTGGGCGTGCACGACTACGACATCCTCATCGCAGGCCCCAACACGCCGGCTGGTGGCAAGGAGGATGTGCGGCTGCGCATCTCGTCCCACCCGCAGACGCTCTACCCCACCGCGTCTGCTGGCATCGACGCCGTAGCTCTGCCGGCTTTCGCAGTCGTGTCCAAGACTCTGCCGTCGTACCTCAAGCTTGCACTCACACAGCACGTGCTGCAGCTCTTCCACGGCGCCAACGGACGCGCAGATTGGACGGATGCGGTCGAATCCGGAGACGGCGGCGTGCTGCTCGGCGTTGTCGAGGAGTTGGAAGCCACGTGGGCCAAGGTGGTGGATGACCCGCCGCTGCTCAACAGCGTCATGCGCTTCCTCGTCGCCACCGAGGCCGATGACAGTGCCGATCCCACGCCCGACGCCTCGCGCGCCGCCACGCCCACAGGAGCGAGAAAACCCAACCCGAAACGCAGGATGGGCGGCAGCAAGCCGCTGCGCCGCGATCCCGAGGTGGACTCGACGCTGCAGCGACAGCAGAGCCAGCTGCATTCGTCGCCAGCGTACGCAAAGATGGGCAGCATCCGCAAGTCGCTGCCCGCCTCATCTGCTGCGGCGGAGATCCTGGAGATGATCCGATCGAACCGGGTGGTGATCATCGCGGGCGAAACCGGATGTGGAAAGACGACGCAGGTGCCGCAGTTTATCCTCGACGAGGCGATCCAGGCGGGCGCCGGGAGCGAGTGCAACATTGTGGTCACGCAGCCTCGACGAGTGAGCGCGATCGGCGTTGCATCGCGTGTCGCCGTCGAACGCGGCGAAGACCTGGACGGCAAGAAGCCCGTCGGCCAGGGTAGCCTAGTGGGCTATGCGATTCGAGGAGAGAGACGGGCGGCGCGCGAGTGCAGGCTGCTCTTCACCACCACCGGTGTGCTGCTTCGCCGTCTGGGCGCAGGGGGAGATTCGGACCTGCGCGGCATCTCGCATGTGGTGGTGGACGAGGTGCACGAGCGCAACGTCGATTCGGACTTTCTGCTGCTCGAGCTGAGGGAGCTGCTCAAGCGCAACGCCAAGATCAAGGTGGTGCTCATGAGCGCCACGATCAACCAGCAGACCTTCGCGGCGTACTTTGGCAGTGCACCGTGCATCTCGATCCCCGGCCGCACCTTCCCCGTGCACGACCACTATCTCGAGGATATCATTCGCGAATGCAGGTTCCGACCCTCGGGCAACGAGTTCAGAGCAAGGGGCGGCAAACAGGTCGAAGAGGAGATGGCACAGCTGCGGTCGCATCTGCAGCAGCAACATGTCGATGAGGAGACGGCGCGTGCTGTCGAGAGCATCGCGCGTGCTGGTGGACGCATCAGCTACGAACTGATCGGGGCGGTCGTGCGATACGTGGTCGAACGCGCCGAGAACGAGGAGCTGGCGGCTGTCGATGCCGACGTTGGTGGAGCGGTGCTGGTGTTTTGCCCCGGTGTGGGTGAGATCCGCCAAGCGATCGATGCCATTGCGACGTCTCTGCGCGGGCAGAGTGTGGAGATCCTGCCGCTGCATGCGAATCTGTCGGCCGACGAGCAGCGCAAGGTGTTCCAGCCTGTGCGTCGCGGGGCGCGCAAGATCGTGGTGGCTACCAACGTGGCCGAGACGTCGATCACCATCCCAGACGTCTCGTACGTCGTCGATACGGGCAGGGTCAAGGAGACGCGGTTCGAGCCCGAGAGCGGGCTGACGAGGCTGGTCGAGTGCTGGGCCTCGCGTGCGGCGTGCAAGCAGCGTCGTGGTCGAGCGGGCCGTGTGCGGGCAGGTGAATGCTTCCGACTCTACCCGCGCTTTGTCGACGAGCGCAAGATGTCAGCGCAACAGACGCCCGAGATGCGACGTGTGCCGCTCGAGTCGCTCTTCTTGCAGGTCAAGTCGATGCGTGAGGAGGAAGACGTGCAGCTCTACCTCAACAAGGCGCTCGACCCGCCGAGTCTGGCATCGATGGATGCGGCGCTGACCAATCTGATCGAAGCTGGTGCGCTGCATGCCGACCGCGGGTACAGAAGCAGGCTGACCTCGCTGGGCAAGCATCTGGCGCAGTTGCCGCTGGATCTGCGACTGGCCAAGCTGCTCATCATGGGAACGATCTTTGGATGTCTGGGCCCCATGTTGACTGTGGCGAGCATCATGTCGTGCAAGCCGCTCTTCTCTGCACCGTTCGAGAAGCGGGAGGAGGTGAGCCGGGCGCGAGCGAGCTTTGCGGTGGCGGGATGCAGGAGCGATCTGCTGGTGGATGCCGAGGCGTTTGCGCAGTGGCAGAGCATGCGTGCCGAGCGACGATCCAACGCCGAGATGCGCGAGTGGTGCGAGAGGCATTTCATCTCTGCATCGACGCTGCGGGATATCCAGACGAACAGGGTGGAGCTGCTGTCGCATCTGCAGGAGATGGGATTTGTGCGCTCGAGCTACAGGGCGGTGGGAGGGTACGAGGACGATCGGTACGATAAGAATGCCGAGCATACGGGCGTGTTGCGCTCGGTCATCCTGGCTGGCTTGTGGCCGTCGATCATCCGGATCGATCTGCCGTCGGCCAAGTTTGACCAGTCGTCGAGCGGTACGGTGCAGCGCGAGGCGGAAGCACGCCAGGTGCGCTACTTTGACCGCAACGGCCGCGTTTTCTTGCATCCTTCGTCGACGCTCTTCAGCTGCAAAGGGTTCGACTCTTCCTACCTCGCCTCGTTTGCCAAGAGCAGCACGGGCTCGGGCGATGCCAAGGTGTATCTGCGCGATGCGACCGAGGTGCCGCTGTTTGGACTGCTGCTCTTCGGCGGACGACTCAAGATCAACCACCTCGCCGGCGGCATTGGCGTCGGATCCAACCAGGCCAAACCGGGCGAGGAGAACTGGGTCCGACTGCGGGCGAACGCGAGGATCGGCGTGCTGTGCGCGCAGCTGCGGAGACTTCTGGATGCCGTGCTCGACAGCGCCATCGACGAGCCGCAGGACATGTTTGCGGCGCCCGGATGCAAGGAGGTGCTCGAGGTGATTGGCGAGGTGCTCGAGCGCGACGGTCGGGCTGCCTAGTCTAGTCTCCGTCTTTCTCAGCCATGAAATGCAAGCCATATTACTATTCTACTCGATCAGCAGGTACGTGTGTGTGTGTGTGTCTATTCTACTGACGTGTGGCTGTCATCTGCTTTGGCTGGAAGCGAGGCAGAGAGCATGGCGAGAGCATGTTGCTCGAGTATGGCGGTGTGCGATCGGCGCTATCGGACAAGAGCGGGAGCCGATGCCCCGATTCATAAACTTGGACTTTGGAAGTTGGAGGTTGGAGGGTGCGGGCGGAGGTATCGCGAGGCGCATGGAAATTACGTAGCTGAGAGAGCGAGCGCAGGGCAGATGGCCGGTGCGCTGCAACACTGCCACGGCTCAGCGGCTGGTGGAGGCCGAGACAGAAGCCAAAGGCGGAAGCGGAGCAGCTTCCGATCTGGCAGGCGTGTGGACAGAGAGATCAGCCGTCAAGAGCAGCCGTGGACCCTTCGCATCGGCTGCGACCCGACCAAGCCAAGCCATCCGCCCGTCACTCCACCACACCACCACACTCGATTCAGTCACCCTCTCGCCCTATCACCCTCTCGCCCTATCACCCTCTCACCCTATCACCCAATCACACAACCTGTCAATCACCTCATCACCCACTCACACCATCTCGATCGATCGATCGTCGGGAGCAACCCGCCCTTTGCCATCTCGACCGAGGCTGCTTCAAGATGGCCATCTCAAAGAAGGCCGGCGCCAAAAAGGCAGGCGCCGCCGCCTCCAAACCACCGCCATCCAAGTCCGGCGGCGTCGCAAAGGCAGACTGGCGCGAAGGCTTCAAAAAGGCGCAGGCGGGCGTCTCGGACATGACGCTCCTCTCCAAGGTCACCAACGAGGCCATCAACGACAACCTCCAGAAGCGATTCCAGAATGCGGAGATCTACACCTACATCGGCAACGTGCTCATCTCCGTCAACCCCTTCCGCGACCTCGGCATCTACTCGGAAGCCATCCTCCAGTCCTACCGCGGCAAGAACCGTCTCGAGATGACGCCGCACGTGTTCGCCATCGCAGAGGGTGCCTACTACAACATGAACGCCTACAAGGAGAACCAGTGCGTCATCATCTCGGGCGAGTCCGGCGCAGGCAAGACAGAGGCCGCCAAGCGCATCATGCAGTACATTGCTGCCGTCAGCGGCGGCTCCAACTCGGGCATCCAGGACGTCAAGGACATGGTGCTCGCCACCAACCCGCTGCTCGAGAGCTTCGGCTGCGCAAAGACGCTCCGCAACAACAACTCGTCCCGCCACGGCAAGTACCTCGAGATCATGTTCAACGCACAGGGCGAGCCCATCGGCGCCAACATCACCAACTACCTCCTCGAAAAGAACCGCGTCGTCCAGCAGATCCGCGACGAACGCAACTTCCACATCTTTTACCAGTTCACCAAGGCCGCCTCCGCCGCCCACCGCGAAAACTACGGCATCCAGGGCCCCGAAGCCTACGCGTACACCGCCAACTCCCACTGCCTCGACGTCAGCGGCATCGACGACCACGCCGACTACCGCGAAACGATCAGCGCCATGAACACCATCGGCCTCTCCCAAGACGAGCAGGACAACATCTTTCGCATGATCGCCGCCATCCTCTGGATCGGCAACGTCCAGTACGTCGAGAATGAAGAGGGCAACGCCCAGATCGCAGACGCCGCCGTGCCCGACTTTGTCGCCTACCTCCTCGAGGTCGACGCCGGCAACGTGAACAAGGCGCTCACCCAGCGCATCATGGAGACCCAGCGCGGCGGTCGCAGGGGCTCCGTCTACGAGGTGCCCCTCAATCCCACCCAGGCCGCCGCCACACGCGACGCGCTCGCCAAGGCCATCTACAACAACATGTTTGACTGGATCGTAGACCGCATCAACCAGTCCATGAAGCCGCGCGCAGACTCGGCCAACGTCATCGGCGTGCTCGACATCTACGGATTCGAGATCTTTGACAACAACTCGTTCGAGCAGCTCTGCATCAACTACGTCAACGAAAAGCTCCAGCAGATCTTTATCGAGCTCACGCTCAAAAAGGAGCAGGAGGAGTACGCCTACGAGCAGATCCAGTGGACGCCCATCAAGTACTTCAACAACAAGATCGTATGCGACCTCATCGAGGAGAAGCGCCCGCCCGGCATCTTTTCCGCCCTCAACGACGCCTGCGCCACCGCACACGCCGACCCCACCGCTGCCGACAACTCGTTCATCCAGCGCACCGGCATGCTGTCGTCCAACCCGCACTTCGACTCGCGCGGCACCAAGTTCCTCATCAAGCACTACGCCGGCGACGTCATGTACAACGTGCAGGGCATGACCGACAAGAATAAGGACTCGCTGCTCAAGGACATCCTCGACCTCGTCGACTCGAGCGCAAACTCGTACCTCCAGAAGCTCTTCCCCGACCGTCCCGATCCCAACTCCAAGAAGCGTCCGCCGACGGCAGGCGACCGCATCAAGGCGAGCGCAAACGCCCTCGTCGAGAACCTCATGCGTGCACAGCCGTCGTACATCCGCACCATCAAGCCCAACCAGAACAAGAGCCCGACCGAATACGACACCCAGGCCATCCTCCACCAGATCAAGTACCTCGGTCTTCAGGAGAACATCCGCGTGCGACGTGCCGGCTTTGCGTACAGGAATACGTTCGAAAAGATGGTCGAGCGCTTCTACCTCCTCTCGCCCAACACCTCGTATGCGGGCGAGTACACGTGGCAGGGCGACGCACGCAGCGGATGCGAGCGCATCCTCACCGACACGGGCATCGCACGCGAAGAGTGGCAGATGGGCGTCACCAAGGCGTTTATCAAGAATCCCGAGACGCTGTTTGCGCTCGAGACCATGCGCGACCGATACTGGCACAACATGGCGATGCGCATCCAGCGCGCCTACCGCAACTACCTCCGCTACAAGGAGGAGTGCGCACGCCGCATCCAGCGCATGTGGAAGAACAACAAGGAGGGGCTCGCCTACATCCAGCTGCGCGACTATGGTCATCAGGTGCTCGCCGGGCGCAAGGAGCGCAGGCGCTTTAGTCTGATCGGCTCACGACGCTTCATGGGCGACTATCTCGACGTCGGAGGATCCAACGGCAAGGGTGGAGGAAGCGCAGAGGGCCAGATGCTCCGACAGGCTTCCGGCATGGGTGCGGGCGAGAGCGTGGCGTTCAGCAGCCGCATCCAGCTGCTCGTGTCGCGTCTGGGCCGTTCGAGTGTGCGCAGTCCGCGCTTCCTGATCCTCACCGACAAGGCGGTGTACATCCTGGTGACGCAGATGATCAACAAGCAGGTGCAGACGACGTGCGAGCGGCGCATCAACCTGGGTGCCATCTCGGCGGTGGGACTGTCCAACCTGCGCGACGACTGGGTGGTGCTCAACGTGACCAACGCCGAGGAGGCCGATCCGGTGTTGCACTGCCACTTCAAGACCGAGCTGGTGACGCATCTGCTGCAGCGCACCAACGGCGCCGTCAACGTCGTCATCTCGGCCACGCTCGAGTTTTCCAAAAAGAAGGACAAGAAGGCGCACATCACGTTCAAGAAGGACGAGACGGTCAAGAAGGACGACGTGTACAAGAGCAGCACCGTGTCGGTCTGCACGGGCGAGCCGGCTAACAGCGTGTCCAAGCCGGCGCCCAAGAAGAAGCCGGGTCTCGTCAGGCCGATTACGCAGGGCAAGTTGCTGCGTGCAGGCGGACCGACGAATGCGAACAACAAGCCCAAACCTCGCGCCGTCCCTCGCGCGACGCCTGCTGCAGCCAAGCTGCCTAGCAGTGGAGGTGCGGCCAAGCTGCCTGGCAGTGGCGGTGGCGGTGCGGTTGCGGCCGCGCGCTCTGGGCCGCCGCCGCCTCCTCCGCCACCGCCTGCTGCTGCGCCGGCCGAGGTGCCGCAGGTGCCGCGCTACAAGGCGCTGTACGCCTTTGCCACCGACAATGCCGGCGAGATGGCGCTGGACAAGGACGACGTCGTCGAGGTCACGCAGAAGGACGAGACGGGCTCCGGCTGGTGGCTGGTCAAGAAGAACGGCGTCGAAGGTTGGGCGCCCTCGAACTATCTCGAGCTCATCCCGCAGGCACCGCCCAAGCCCAAGGCGGCGCCGGCTGCGCCCGTGAAGCGTGCGCCGCCTCCTGCGCCGGCGGCGAGTTCGGGCGCATCGACGCCGACGAGCAAACCGGCGGTGGCGGCCAAGCCTGCGTTTGGGGGTGGAGCGGCTGCGCCCGTGATGCAGCCCAAGCCGGTGGTGAGGACGACGCCCGCGGGGGCAAAGCCGCACGAACGACCTACAGCCGTGCAGCCCGATGCGGGTGCAGCGCCTGTGGCGGTCATGCCCGGGCTGGGCGCGCCCGGTGGATTTGCGGCGGTGCTGGCCAAGAAGAAGGCGGAGAATGCGGCGGCTGCGGCGGCCAAGAATGGCGCCAACGGCGGTGGGAGCGGCGCAAGCACGCCTCCGCCCGTGGCCGCCAAGCCGCCAGTGGCGCCCAAACCGGCGGCGAACGGCAGGGCAATGCCGCCCCCACCGCCTAGACGATAGAAGACGTGGAGGCTCAAGTGGGCATCGGTCTCGACGGCGTGCACTGGGGTGGGTGCTTTTGCTCGCAGTAGAGATTGGTAGCTGGTGTGCGCGCGATGGTTATGGTATGAATCGACGTCTTACGACCAGACTGTGTTTTGAACTGCTTTTGCGTGGGGGTAGTCACCTCTTTTGATTACGCCTCGGCGCTGTGCACTGACTCGTATTGGCGTGTTGCATCTGTTGAAGTCGATTGGCACGCGGCTTGGCGGCTGCGTCGGGGTTGGAGTGGCGCTCATCGAGTGTGCACTTGGCCGAGGTGGGTGACGAAGGCTTGTAGGTGGGATCGCAACTCGGTCAGCTCACGAATGTGGGATAGATGTCCATCAAGACCCTTTTTTTCTCGCCCATGCAAGGGTGCGAATGGGTTGCAAAAGGCTCGGTGGACTGTGGTGCAAGTGACGTCGAAGCCTAGGTTTTTCACAGCATCGGGGC